ATAAGGCCGAGCAGAACTGTGTCCTAGAGTTTCCAAGGCTATAATATTTACAGAAGCACACTGTCTCATCTTTCTCCCGTGAATGTACAATGGGTTTGAACCCGATCATTCACTTAGCACAGTGTAGTGTGTGTCACCTGAATTACACATAGAGCCAGTAAACAGGACTGTCTACTTAGTCACATACAGGCATGTCTCCTTTCATCGAGTTTCACTTTATTGCACTTTGCAGATACTGCATTTTTTTTTTTTTTTTTACAAATTAATGGTTTGTGGCAATCCTGTGTTATGCTCTATCAGTGTCATTTTTGTTCCAACAGTGTGTGCTCACTTTGTGTCTCTGTGTCACATTTTGGTAATTCTCATATTTCCAACTTTTTCTTAATGCTATTGTATATTAAGTACACCAACCAACACCAAGTACGCTTAGTAATCCTTGGGTGTATTAGGAGACATTTGCCCAATCTTTCAAGGCTTTGGGTTTGTGTCTGTGAACATCCCTGGTCATTTTATCACCAAAGCCCTCCAGGGCCATTACTCATTAGACACTGGTTAGAGCACTGTGAAGCTGTGTCCTCTGCTATCATAGCTAGCAGAGCAAATTTGTAGACTCCCCTCACTACAGCTCACCCTGGAAGATGTCTGGTGATTACACAGGAAGTCAAATAGAAACTGGAGCAGATACAAAATAGATAAGGAGTGAGGACCCCCAAAGATGGTGTTAAATTTGCCCACAAAGTAAAATTACAAGACTGGAAGAGAAGGATTTGAAGATCTTTCCCTGGGAAACTGAGAACCTCCTAGAAGCCCCCTGGGAAACAGAACCTCAAGACATTTTCCAAGTTAAAAGGATGCAAGATCCCTATCTTGCATGTTATTATCATTCCTATTCCTGCCCTACCCCCAGCTTCCCCAAAACTGAGCGGGAGCTGCATATTTCATCTCCCTAGAAGCCTGCTATGGTCTTTGAGGGGTTTCTGAAGACTGGCCTCTCTCTCTGAACAGTGTTCTGATCTGTGGACTGACTTTTCTGGGAGAATGTCTAAGACTTGTTCCTAACGAAAACGTTTCTTCAAGCTTCCTCCATGTCCATCCGTGACCAAATTATTGATTGGCTTATTTCTATTCATTAGTGCTCTCTTTTCCTTCTCTCATCTTGTCCCCTTTTGCTCCCTTGTCCCATTTTTACATCGTTTCACACTTTGTTTTTGCCTCGTTGTTTTAACTACTGAATAATGTTAATATGAAATGTAAAGCCACTAAGCCACTAATGTGTTTTTTAAAACAAACTACTTCTAACTAAAATGAAGCACACAATAAAAAAAACAGTTCACAAAGTAATCAACTTTACATAATTGACAAGATTTTTCTGTTTGTCTATTTTGCATACCAAATACATCTTGCAGCTAAAATCTTTCAATGCTTGCTTTTATACACAGATGCAATTTCTCTGAGTAACTGTTCACACACAAGGATACACAAATAAAACCAATAAATGCAAACACCAAAATTTATTAAAGCGTTGGGTATTTTGTGGTTTGCTTTCTTCAAAGAAACACTTACAGAATTTTCCTTTGACAGCTCTATCAGTCCATCTTCCAGAACCTCTGCAATTTCTTGGTTATTCAAGATGTTGACTGTACTCATCATGTCAAACATAAACTGTCCTGTAAACAGAATACCACATGTCCAGTGATTAATTTACATAAGAAATGTAATTGAGAAAAAAGACAACTCAGTCCTCACAGTCGCTTTTCAGTGGAGAAGAATGCAAAGGATGAGTGACAATCCTATTGTGCTTTGAAGATTATTCACCATGACAAAAAATAAAATGGTCAAACGCAATCAAATGTGCACCACATAAAAATTACCGCCGCAGGAAACTGACTTAAAATGAAATATTCAGAAGTAAACAATGAGGAAAGAACATGTGGAAAGGAGCATTTTACTTTAAATTTTAGATTCTCAAACTCACCAAATAGTCTCCGCACTCTTCTTCAACTCAATGCTCAATTTACAAATATTTAAAATACATAGAAATAGCACACAAACTTACACACAGAGAGATCTTTGAATTCTTTTGTATTTCAAACAACATGCACTTATTTGAATATAGTTTTCTTCCATTTGACTTCTCATTACCTACATATATCATCATGAAAATGCTTTTATCTTTAAAAGTTTCATCTTTCCACCTTTCCCTCTAGTCCTTAGTATCCATGAAAGAACAAGGAAAATTGAATTTCTCACCCATGGAGCCACACAGCTATTTTTAAAATTGGCTGAACAAGTGTGATAGAGTGCTTAGCACAATTTAAAAAAGGAAGATAAATTCCTGTTTTAGAGACATTTATGTAAAAAGACACACATAATATTGATTAAATACTTTCATGCATACTGGTGTGTACAGCTCTTGTATACAAACAAAACTGCACGTACTGCCGTCAAGTTGGTCCCGACTCACAGTGACCCCTCCTTGAGTTTCTGAGGGGGTATCACTATGGAAGTAGATTGACCAATCTTCCTTCCACGGAGTGGCTGGTTGGTTTGAACCACCAGCCTTCTGATTAGTAGTAGTCAAATGCCTTAGGCACTCTGCTACCAGAGCTCTTTTTTTTTTTTTCGGTTTTGGATTCAGAATATTACTGTATCATTCAGATTAATTGATTTTCAGGGAGAGAATTTTACTTAAACATTCACTACATCGTGTAGAGAGAGAAAGCAGTTTGACATAAGAAACATACAGGGATGATTTTGGATTCTGTAATGGGTAACCAGGCAGAGTGCGATTTTCTGATATTTTCCTTTGTAGGATGTGAAGATGAAATAGTATATTCTTACTTAGGTGTCTACTCGGCTTCCCAGCATGTGATCCAGCAGCTGTTTAACTTTTGGTTTCAAACATATGTCAAACCTTGTCTGTCAAAGAGTATGTTGTTGTTGTTGTTGTTATGTGCCGTCGAGTCAGACCCGACTCATAGCAACCCTCCTTGGATTTCCGAGGCAGTATCACTACGGAAGTAGATTGCCCCATCTTCCTTCCGAGGAGTGGCTGGTGGGTTTCAACCGCCAGCCTCCTGGTTAGCAGTCAAATACCTTAGGCACTACGCCACCAGAGCTCCTATAGTTGCCCCATCCTTCATGTGTCAGTTTGTCGTACTCTGGTGGCTTGCATGTTGCTGGACACTGGAAGTTATGTCATCAGTATTTCCAATCCCAGCAGGTCACCCATGGTGCACAGGTGTCAGGGGAGCTTCCAGACTAAGACAGACTCAGAAGAAGGATGGGGCCACCCACTGCTGAAAAAATTAGTCACTGAAAACCTCATGAATAGCAGTGAAAGACTGTCTGATATATTGTCTGTAAACATCACACCCACGAAAACCTACTGAGCCTGGTTCTACTCTGTAACACAAGGGGTCAGAATGAGTCAAAATCAACTTGACAGCAATGAGTTTGTTCTTTGTTGTTGTTATTTTTAAAATTTTATTTTAAAGAAGGGACTGATTTAGGTGAAGATCCATAGTTGAGACAGGGAAGTATTTACCAAAGAGTCTATTATGGTCATTCCATCAGGGGGATGGAGTAGGAATGAGAAAAGACATTCAGTGACGTCCAGTCATCTCAGCAAAGGACCAGAGGAGTCCAACAACAAATTATATATTTAACATAGTGACTAAATAGGTGGTGCAGAACCATTTAAGTAATGGATGCTATGGTCTGAGAGGTGCTTGACAAGGTGTCCAGTGATATATCTTCTAGAGCATATCGTAGTGGGAGAAGAACACAGCTCAGTAGCTAAGCAAACAATGTTTTTTATCTATTAAATAATTGACTCACATAGCAATGAATAAAATGCTAAAATTTTAAAACAGGAACAGCTGCAAAATTTTGAATATGACTACATTATTCTTCACGAATATTTATTATATTTAAAAGGTGATATGAAAACAAAGGAAATAGATTTTACTGAAAATGTTTAAGAATTAAAGTTTGCTTGCATCATTCCTCAACTTACATGCACTCTGGATGTGAAATTCAGTAATTAACCTGCAACAGAAGACTTCTTACCTATCATCTTGCCACTGATGTTCTTCTGCAACTCCTTGAAGAGGGGACTTAACTGTCTCCTTACAGATTTCAAGGTGTCTTCCAGGAAGTCGATGAGGCTGGACCAGGTCTGCAGCTTTGATTCAATGAAGTAGATGGAAAGAGGAGCCTTTTCCGGCTGTTGTCCCAGCCAATCACTGAGAACTGACATTATTTTCTCTTTTTATTATGGTAGACTTAAGCTCAAATGAAAGAATTCTACTTCTTATTTAAAGTACAAAAACTTAATTGTATTTATATTGGGTTTATCATTCCTTCTCATTGGAAGACTCAGATCAATGCCCACAGTCTTCTTTCAAAGGTGAAATTAAAAACTCAGGACACGATGAAGAATTTAGGCACTTGACTGCTAACCAGAAGGCTGGTGGTTCAAACCCACCAGCCACTCCTCAGAAGGAAGGTTGTGCAATCTACTTCCATAGTGATACTGCCTCAGAAACCCAAGGAAGGGTCGCTATGAGTTGGGTCTGACTCGACGGCACATAACAACATACTCTTTGACAGACAAAGTTTGACATATGTTTGAAACCAAAAGTTAAACATCTGCTGGATCACATGCTGGGAAGCCGAGTAGGCACCTAAGTAAGAATATACTATTTCATCTTTACATCCTACAAAGGAAAATACGAGAAAACCGCACTCTGCCTGGTTACCCATTATAGAATCCAAAATCATCCCTGTATGTTTCTTATGTCAAACTGCTTTCCCTCTCTACACGATGTAGTGGATGTTTAAGTAAAATTCTCTCCCTGAAAATCAATTAATCTGAATGATACAGTAATATTCTGAATTCAAAACCGAAAAAAAAAAAGGAGCTCTGGTAGCATAGTGCCTAAGGCATTTGACTACTAGTCAGAAGGGTGGTGGTTCAAACCCACCAGCCACTCCATGGAAGGAAGACTGGGCAATCTACTTCCCCAGAGATACCACCTCGGAAACCCAAGGAGCAGTCGAGCAGTCGCTATGAGTCAGATATTCTTTGCCCTACCCTTATTGATAAACATGTAAAAAGCTTTATCACATTAACTTCTATAAGGAGAATGAGAGGAAGAGAAGGAAGAAGAGGAACAGGAGGTAAAGGAGGAGACAAAGAAGAAAATCTACCATATTGCAAACAACAGTGTCCAGGCCCTGCTGGGCTCTGTAGGCCGACTCCTTTTTCCATAGGGCCAAATATGCTATCATTTGGTGATGTTGTTTTACTAACTAAGGCTCTCCAGGGCTGTTATTCATTGGACATTGGCTGGAGTGCTATGGAGCTGAGTTCTCCATTTACTAAGACAAATCACAGCTGACCAAGGCAACTTCTCAGATTCCCCTCACTACAGCTAACCCTGCTTCTGCTTCAAAACAAATACTCAAAAATATTAGGTCAATATGCTTTTTGTAGGAGCTCTGGTAGTGTAGTGCCTAAGGCACTTGACTGCTAACCAGAAGGCTGGTGGTTTAAACCCATCAGCCACTCCTCGGAAGGTTGGGCAATCTACTTCCTTAGTGATATCACCTCAGAAACCCAAGGAGGGGTCGCTGTGAGTCAGGTCCGACTCGACGGCACGTAACAACAACAACATGCTTTTTGTTACATCTACATGGAATTTTTTTACTTTTCACGTTTCATAATCATGCCAACTCTCCCCTGGTCTAGAAAGGCAGTGCCATTTGAGATTCGAGAAACAATGCTTTATATTTCTACATCACTCTAAGCCCTGTCTGATAGGAGGCAGGGAGTTTTATAGGGAAAATAATTAGCATTACTGTAGTGAAGCAGTTGGGTCTCTTGTTGCACAACACTGTGATCCAATATCTGCAGCTTTGGTTTCTAAATGAACATTTGCATTCAAGATGCATTTTGACTTTGTTCTTCCTCTCAGATAATGCTACCAAAATGGAACCAAAGGGTGTCTCTTCTGCCATCTCTTTGTAGTTACAATCCCTTTCTCCAAACAAAACCATATTGATAATATTTTACTAACAAAATATTTGCTTTTTGCTTATTATTCCTCTAGATCAGCAACTATACATTCTTGCTTAACTGTCAAAGACGGTATTTTCAAGAGAGTTTTTGCAAATGATGATTTGAAGCAAGTATTTGCAATAAATGATCCCCTTCTAAGCAAATGACTGAGTGATGGGAGAGTACATAGTTTGGGAAGTGATAGCATCTGTCAGAGGAGGAATGAAAGACAGTAATTGATACTGGCCGTGGTCAATATTTTTAACTGTTATGGGTTGAACTGTATCCCCAGGTAATAAGAGTTGTCAATTGGAACCCTTGTACCTGTGGCTGTAATCTCATAGGGTTTCTATATTTTGTTATTGAGGCCATATCAGTGCCGGGTGTGTCTTAAACCAATCACTATTTTTTTGTTTGTTTGTTTTCTCTTTTGGTGAAAATACAGTCATATACCATTTCAACAATTTCTACATGTACAACTCAGGACATTGATCACATTCTTCAAGTGGAGCAAACATTCTCACCCTCCTTCTCCAAATTGTTCTACCACCATTGATTTAAACCCACTCTTCCCTAAGCTTCTTATCTAACCTTTCAAGTTACTGTTATCAATTTGATCTCACATAGATAATTCTTTAAAAATGCACAGTGCCCAAGGCAGACATATTTTAGTTATTAAGATAAACTATTTTTTTGGTTTAAAGAAAACTTCAAGGGATAGTTTTACTTTAAGGCTTAAAGTTTAGATTCTCTCAGGGCAATCGTTTCAGGGTTCATCCACCCTCTGTGATTTCAGAGAGTCTGGATTCCATTGAGAGAATTTGAAATTCTGCTCTGTATTCCTCTTCCTTCTGATCAGGATTCTGCTATATAATCTTTGATCAAAATAATCAGTAATTTAAACCAATCAGTTTTTAATGTAAAAGAGCAGAATAAGCACAGAAGATACAGGGGGAAGAACAAGATTATCTGAGAATGCTGGAGGTAGACCAGTCTAATACTAGGAACTCCAAGGATCACTGGCTAAAGAAGCTGGAACAAGGATGATCCCTCAGAGTGGGCAGAGGGCCTTTTCCTAGAGTCAGCACTACTTCTAGCCTCCTAAACTGTGAGAAAGTAAATTTCTGTTTGTGAAGTCACCCCCTTGTGGTATTTCTGCTGTAGCAGCACTGGGAAACTAAGACTTCTTTCACTGATCCTGGATTGGGTATGCTATTGGGGATGATAGTCAGCTCCCATATATACTTACTGTGTTGGTAAGAGCCAGTGGCAATCCCAGTGGGGGCGGAAAACAGCGTGCCAGTTAGTTGAGACAGCTTAGAAAGAACTTCTATTCCTGCTTCTGAACAGTCAAAAAGACTTTCATTAGTTTACTCACAGGTTTTGCCGTAGAGCAGATAAATATTACTTAGGAGCATGAATGAACTGGCCAAGAAAGGTCACTTAGCAGTTCTGTTCCTCAGTTCAAATCCCTCCATGGAGCAGCCGAGGAACAGTTTACAGTTCACCCCTAAGTGCTGAGACCCAAACAAATTATTTATGAGACCTAAGCAGTAGGGCGGGGAGAGAGGGTAGGAATTTTGACCTGGTGCTTGTTTTCAGTTTTGGAATACTCAGTCCCCAAACTAAACCAAACCCACTATCATCGAGCCAATTCTGACTCCTAGTTACCCTACAGGACAGAGTAGAAGTGTACCACAGGGTTTCCAAGGTTTTAAATCTTTACCAAAGCAGTCTGCCTCATCTTTCTTCCATGGAGTGATTGGTGTGTTTGAACTGTCAATGTTTTTTGGTTAGTGGCTGTGGTAGTTTGGTTTGTGTGTCAACTTGGCTGGGCCTGGTTGAGTGGCTGGGCAGCTGATGGTAGTTAATCCCCATGAGGAGACTGGCAATCAGCTCCATGGTGGGCTCTACCACAAGCAGCTGAGGAGCTGCCTTTGGGATGTCGTCTGCTTCCTGTATAGAAGGAGAAGCTTTGCGAATGGTCTCTAGTCTTTGGCATGCGTGGACTCTGCATGTAGCCATGTCATTGCTCAGCAGCCTGCTATGCTCTGCCAACGTTGGGACTTACAGTGGACTTAAGTTAATGGCCTGCTTTTTGGTTTGGTAACATCGGGACTGTGCCTTTTTACTTGTCAACCTTGGGGCTTCTCAGCCTCAGCAGCCAGCAGCTGTGTGATGAAGAAATGCCTCTGGCTCCAGTGGGCCGGGAGCAGGAGGCAGAGCTGGACCCCAAGGTTGAGGGGCTTTCACCCAGCCCCTAGAGCCTGGCACTTTGAACTTGGACTTAAAGCCTCCAAATTGTAAGAATAAACTCCTGTTTGTTAAGGCCATCCCATTTGTGGTATATTATTGTCAGAGCAGCACTAGGGAACCAGAACAGTGGCCGAATGTTTTAACAGCTGTGCCCCCAGTACTCCTACTCAGCCCATACTAAGAGGAATATCTGCATACTATCTTCTAAAATGTTGTTAGGTGCCATTGAGTCAGCTTTGACTTCCAGTGACCCTCTGTACAACAGAACAAAACACTGTTCAGTCCTATGCCGGCCTCACAATACGTGGATACTTGAGCCCACTGTGGCAGCCACTGTGTCAATCCATCTTGTTGAGAGGCTTCCCCTTTTTCACTGACCGTCCACTTTATCAAGTATGATCTCCTTCTCCAGGGAATGATCCCTTCCAACAATATGACCAAAGTGACATGAAGTCTGGCCATTCTCACTTCTAAGGAACATTCTGGCTGCACTTCTTCCAGGACAGTTTTGTTTGTTCTTCTGGCAGTCTGTGGTATTTTCAGGATTCTTCACCAACACCATAATTCAAAGGTATCAACTCTTCTTTGGTCTTCCTTATTGATTGTTTGGCTTTCACATGCATATGAGGTGATTGAAAATCACCACCCGTAGAAGCAGCAGCAGGAAATCAGACATGATTATTGCACTGGGAAAATCTGCTGCAAAAGATCTGTTTAAAGTGTTGAAGAGCAAAAATGTCACTTCAAAGACTGAGGTGTGCCTAATCTAAGTTTTTAGGTGAGTACATTTTAGAGTTTTTTTTACATTTTTAATCGCCATATTTTCTAAAGTAGACTCAAAGGAGAAGTCTTATCCTGAGAGGATAGATTTAAAACTGCTAAATACAAAATTTTAGATACAGAATAGAATTGTTGTTGTTGTTGTTAAGTGCCGTTGAGTCGTTTCCGACTCATAGCGACCCCATGCACAGCAGAACGAAACACCGCCCGATCCCGCGCCAGCCCCACAATCCCCGCTATACTTGATCCCATCATCGCAGCAACCATATCAATCCATCTCGTTGAAGGCCTCCCCCTCTTTCGTC